TCCATGTCCAGTTGACTCCGTGTCTGTTTTACTCTCTCTCTCTCTCTCTTTAGTTGTTGATCTGTGTTGAGGATCTCGCTCGCGCCGAGGCTGCGCGTGGTCCTCGTGGTCTCGAGGGTCGCCGGAACTTCGGACCAGACATACTTAACGCAAGACCGGACTAATCAGCGACTGATAGTGGCCAAAGGCCATAAAATTGGGCCAAAAATGCAGTTGACTTGTCAGCGTTATCTGAAATGGCAACTCGTTTGCTCGCCTGCTCGAGTCCGCGATTCGTCCGTTCGGCCAACCGACAAGCGTTTTCCCACTTTTGACTGTCTTGCAAGATGGCGCAAAAGTGTGTGAACTTCAAAAAGGCCGACTGGTACTTCCGGTTGTGCAGCGAAAGGGTTCATTGCACGCTTGTGTAGGCCGACGGGAGAATTGGGCAGGTGGGCTACATGCCCACAGAGAGCCATTTTACTGAATTGATGCAAGAAATGTATCTCGCGCGATGGCCGATTGCATCAAGACCGGATCCGACACGGCCCATTCTGGCGAAGATGGCAACTGGGCCAAAAAGTCATGAAGCTAGGGCTCTGTGATTTATGACGTGAGTTAGAGATGGCATTATGCTTTCAGGTCACATTTAGTCATATTTTCTAGCATTGACGCCCAAGGTAAGGTCGGCTTGAAGAGTAATTGCAAACTTCCAGTTACAAGCGCACTTATATCCCTTCAAGTGTACAGTCAAATGGACATTTCATTCTGGGTTAGGCCTATTAATGGTGCCGGAATCTGGAGAAATATGTACAGATTATAGAAGTGGCTTGACCTGGTTGTCGCAACTTGGTCTTGTTGTCAGGGCGAATTAGGAGAAGGCACCTAATCCGAAGTCGTCGGTTGTAGCTGTCATGATTACCAGCATCAAACAGTGCACTTGCTACATGCTCAAAACGTTTCGCCGGCATCATCAGTCAGTTCTGCCAGTCTCCGCACCAATCTACGAACTCGTAAGAGAGAATGTACCAAGTACACTGTCTGATGCTGGGAGTCATGACAACTCCTACGGCTGACGACTTCGGATTAGGTGCCTTCTACTAAGTCGCCCTGACAACAAGACCAAGGAGGTCTGGCACTATCATTAAATATTGACGATGAAACGTCTGGGAATGTGTCAACTCAATGGTCAGGTGTTGTAACCTATCATGATTTCTATGTTGTATGAAAGGTATTCACCCAATTTCGTTTAAGGTCATGACGGACTGGTGGTAGAAGAAGAATTTTCCCACATTCATATGAGTTGAATTTCACATGAGTAGACTGCAGTTTCGACCTC